TGAACTTAATCTGTATATCACAACTCCCTCTGTCTCTTCAGTTTCTTTTTCAATTAAAACCAACAACGGAATTATTGGTAACTACAGTGTCAATAGCAGTGTCCCTGTTGATGTTAGTTTACCAACATCACTTGTGACTAATAATGGCCTTTACTCCAGTCGTTTCAAAGGAGTATATATTTACTCAACAAATGGAGGATTAATCTCTGTACTAGTGGTTAATGTGAGAACTTACAGTTTTGGAGACTATATGGCCTACCCACATCAGAACTTGAACCTTTCAGAATATCAATACTATGCTGTATCTACTGGGACACTTGTCAGTACTGCTTTGAGTGAAGTATTATTAGTTGGAAATGAGGATAACACAACTGTCACTGTCGTTCCTACTCAAAGTGTTTCAGTTCCTATTGATATTCAGACAAATAGTAACAATAAAACAGTCACTGCTGGCTCATCATTCAATTTTACCATTCACAGAATGCAAACATTTCTTTTTGGTGCTCTAGGACATGACATCAGTGGAACCAGTATTGTATCTAACAAACCTCTGACAGTAATCAGTGGTCATGAGTGTAGCAATGTTCCTCTTGTTCCTAGCTGTCAACATATTGCTGAGCAGATACTTCCAACAGTAATATGGGGCAGAGAATTCCTTTTGACTCCTTATGCAACACGATCGCATGGCCCTTACTTTAAAGTTGTAGCAGCTTTAGGAGACACTTCTTTAAATTTTACTTGTTCTGCTAGTGGAGGCAATAACTTTTATTTGCAAAATGCAGGAGATGTCACTACTTTTTATTCTAGTTCCAGTTACTGCTCCATTATTTCTGATAAACCAGTACTGGTAACACAGTTAGGACCAAGTCAAAGCTCAGGCAGTGGTAATGGTGATCCAGTTATATCACTTATTCCTCCAATAGAACTGCATCAACAGAACATAACATTGGTCATTCCTGGATTTTCATCAATTACTAACAATTATATTAACATTGCCACAACTACAAAAGGTTCATTGTACATCAATGGCCAGTTACAATTGGTAACTTGGAACAATATATATAACAATATGAGCAGTATTATTGGATATGGAACACAAATTCCATTCAACACAATCTCCACCTCATCTTCTTATACTATTTCAATGCAGACAGGTTTCACTGCACTAGTATATGGCTTTGGTAGCAGCCATGGTTATTCTTATAGTGCTGGAATAAATCTAACAGGAAGTGGTAAGGAAAATAAACAGTTATTACACACATTAGCTATTATTTTATTAGATCCTTGCTTGAGCAATAATGGTGGTTGTGACCAGCTTTGTACTAGTACTTTTGGGAGTTATGCATGTAGTTGCCATCCTGGCTTTAGTTTGGATCTCAATGGATATAATTGCTCAGGTATATAGAGCTTAATTATTATTTTTAATGACTAGATACCTTTTAATAATAATATTTATCGTGTAGATATTGATGAATGTGCTGACAGTGATTGTGAACATACTTGTATGAATACAATTGGAAGTTATTCATGCTTGTGCAATGATGGTTACAGTTTAGATACAAATAATAGAAACTGTTCAGGTTTGCCATGAACCAATTGCCATACAGCTGGTAATTAAATTTTGGCAAATTGCTAAATTTTTGATGATTGGGGGATTTTAATTTGAGGTGCATAAATGGTTCAAATTGATGGGTTTAATTATTTTTGGCAAATGGCCATCAAAACATTGACAAATTTGCCAAAATTTCTTTTTCCAAAACTACCAGCTATGTGGTATCACATAATTTAGCTCATTAGTAAAAAAGTTAAGCAATTGTGGTTTATATTTTACATATGGTCTGTAGAATATAATTGTTCACATTTGTTCTATTAATTAATTATATAGATATAGACGAATGCACTGACTACAATGACTGTGAACATATTTGTGTCAATACTATTGGAAATTATTCTTGTTTGTGTCATAATGGATACAATTTGGATGCAAATAATAGAAACTGTTCAGGTTTGTTGTGATGTTATGATAGTGCTGCATGATCATTGCATTGTTAATGTAGAGCAATTTAATAAAAGAGTATTATAATATTATTTTTAGAACCTACAAGCTATGCTACAGAATTCAAAGTGGGATTTCTAAGGCAGTTTAGCTCAAGTAGTATTATGAAAATGTTGGTATACACTATGAGCCAAGAACCAGTTCAATTTACAATATCAAGTGCCTCCTCATATGGTTTCAGTTATACAGGAGCAACTAACATCAGTTCACCAAATTTAGTAAGCATCCCATCCAATTTGCAAGTGAGAGAAACAAGTTATAGCTATCGTAATGTTGGGCTTTATGTGAAGTCAATTTCTGATGTACCTATTTCTATTGTTCTGATTGGCCATACCAATGCACCTCGCTCTACATATCTTGCACTGCCATGCATTGAGTACAG